ACTGTACAGAGGGGTTACAATTACATGGGCAAGATAATGAGTACATTTCTTATCAAGCATTGCAGCCTCCTCCTTTGTTTACCCTTCTCATCCCTTCCCAGCCTCCCCCCACCCCCCCCTCACCCAATCCTCTGGTTCAGGCTTATTGCATGGGAAACTTTCATAAGTGTTTCTGGCCCTCATGCTTTACTTGGTTAGTGTTGTGACAAATCAGGAGAGGAACTTGGCTCCTGGAGGCAATTTGTAATTTCTCTGACTGCTTTTGAGTATGGTTCTTTAGGTCAGGTGTTAAGAGCCCGGCCAAGCCACTTACTACTCATGTGATCTAGCAGCACAAAACTGGAGGCTTGATTTTCTGGTTTGTAAAATGGTCACTGTGACACTGAGTAAGGCTATATGTGTGGAAATGCTTTCAACATTTACAATACTGTGGAAGATGTCATTTTCTTTGCATGGTGTTTGTGTTTTCACATGAGGCAGGTGGTAGACATCTGTGGTACAGGCTTTAATTCAGTAAGCTGCACATTACTGGCTGTGCCATGTTCTGGAAGGATAACCACTTCCCAATGGGATATGTTGTTACTTCTTTGCTTCCATTTTTCTCATCTCAAAAACAAACTGGCTCATCCCTGTCGAGCCTTCTTGTCACACCATGGTTATGAGGCTCTGACATAAACAACTTGAAGAAACTTTCTTTCAGCATTGCTGGCCTTTGAGCTCCAAGCATCCTGCTTGCTAGACAGGTACTCTACAATTCGAGCCAAAATTCCAGTCCTATAAGAACCTTTTGTTTGCATGTTAAAGTACTTATAGAAATGTAAGGTAATATTACTACTAGACACACAAGAAGTCAACTTTCTAGTTGATTCTTTTTTTTTGTTGGTTGTGGGGCTTGAACTCAGAGCCTGGGCACTATCCTTGAGCCTCTTTGTGCTCAAGGCTAGTGCTCTACCACTTGAGCCCAGCACCACTTCCTGTTATTGGGTGGTTAATTGGAGATAAGAATCTCGTGGGACTTTTCTGTCCAAGCAGGCTTCGAATGACTATCCTCAGATCTCATCCTCCTGAGTAGCTAGGATTATAGGTGTAAGTCACCAGAGCTTGGCTATAGTTTATTCTTTTAAAAATCATAGTCACAAAGGAGGAGGCTACAATGCTTGATAAGAAATGTACTCATTATCTTGCCCATGTAATTGTAACCCCTATATACAGTATTTTCACAATAAAATCATAGTCAGTGTTGCTCCACTGAGTCTCTTTGGTTTAGTAGCTCAAACTAGTAATCCTAGCAACTTTGGAGATGGAAAGCAGAGAATCTTGGTTTGAAGTCAGCCCAGGTATAAAAATTCACAAGACTTCACATCAGTGAATGGCTGGGCACAGTGGCTTGCCTGTCATCCCCAGCAGCATAGAGAAGCACAAAAAGAAGGCTAGCAGTCCAAGCTGACTTCAGGCATCAAGTGAAACCCTCTCGAAAATAACTAAAACAGTAACAGGACTTTGGGTGTGGCTGGAGGGATGGAGCAACTGCCTTGCAAGTGTGAGATCTTGAGTTGAATTCTCAGTACTGCCAAGAAAACTGTCTCTTGTTTACCCAAAAGTACACTATTTCCTAGATTTAAACCTGCCTACAAGAAATTGAATGCCTCAAAATCACATGCTATAAGGTAAATATTTCATTTGGAATTCATCTTCTGTACACACTCTATCAAGAATCTTTCTTTGAGCCAGGCACTGGTGGCTCATGCCTATAATCCTAGCTACTCAGGAGCCTGAGATCCAAGGATCACAGCTTGAAGCCAGCCCACACAGAAAAGTCTGGGACTCATCTTCAATGAAAGTACTCAGAAAAAGCTGGAAGTGGTGCTGTGGCTCAGGTGGTAAAACACAAGCCTTAAGCACAAAGAGGTTCAGGAACAGTGCCCAGGCCTTGACTTCAAACCCCAGGACTTGCAATAAATAAATACATACATACCTACATAAATGCATACATAAATAAACCTTTCTTCCATGAAATTGTGATAGAGTAAAATTTCAGTAAGTATTAGAAAATAATATGCTTATCTAGCACATAGGATTATAAACTTGTTCTGGAAAATTTTGTTTGGTTCAGGTAAACTTAACCAGGAACCTAATCTTCCTATTTTCAGTCAATATTGCTATTCTTATAGTAAATGTAAAGACAACCAAGTAGTTTAATAACAGTTTATTCATCTAATAAATGTCTATGTATCCCTATCCAGTACTCATTTTTTCAGTGCTGGGGTCTATGTTTTAACCTTTTTTAATCACACTATTTCTTTTAGTCCTACAGGGTCACATGTTGAATGGTGTAAACAGCTTATAGCTGCTACAATTTCTAGTCAGATTTCAGGTTCAGTGACATCAGAAAATGTATCCAGAGATTACAAGGTAAGCAAAGTTGGGTATTTAATAATTCATTTTCAGTATATTAAATAGCCAAGAAACTTTGCAAAAGGTTTTAATTCAAGTGAGCCTTTGGTCCCTTGATGCATAACTGCCATGTGTTGGGAGTGGGGATAAAGGTTTGCTGTTGCTTAATGTAAAATTTAGAAGAGAAATTTTACCAGCATCTAGTATAAATAGCCCTAGTTTTATAATTCAGAGGGAAAATGGTCCTTAGATAGCAATTTTCCTCTTTTTAAAAAATCAAGTTTTATTGTATTAGAAGAAATGAATTCCTATAATCCTAGCTATTCAGGAGTCTAAGATCTGAGGATCCCAGCTTGAAACCATCCCAAATAAGAAAGTCCTTGAAATGCTTATCTCTAATTAACCATGTAAAAGTAAGAAGTGAAGATGTGGCTGGAGTGGTAGACCACCAACCAACCTTGAACGGAAACAAAAGCTAAGGGACAGGGTGTAAGCCCTGAGTTCAACCCCAATACTGGCACACCAAAAAGAGAAAGAAAAAAAAAGAAAAGAAAAAAGCCTAACTACAATCCTAGAACTCAAGGCTGAGGCAGGCATGAAGATTTTAAGTTCAAGACCCACCTTGAGTTTGAGGGTAGCCTAGGTTACATAGCAAGATCTTTTATCAAACAAGCAAATAAAAAACATATATTTCTTTGTTATTCTATATTTGAGAAAGACATCTTCATGTACAGTATCACCCTAACTTTATGACTTGGGTTTTTTTTTATTTTAATAGTACTGCAATTTGAACTCAGGAGCTTGTGTTCATTCAACTTGCTCAGCTAGTGCTCTACTACTAGTGCCACACCTCTATTTCTGGGTTTTTGCTGGTTAATTGAAGTTAAGTGTCTCTCAAATTGGTCTGCCTGGATTGGCTTCAAACTGATCCTCAGCCGCCTCAATAGCTAGTGTTATAGGTATAAGCCACTAATGCCCAGCTGGCATATATAGTTTTATAACACATTTTTTTGTAGTGTTGGGGAATCCAGTGCCTTGTACATGGTAGGCAAACATCCTACAATTGAACTTAGTTCTATAAAACTTCTCGATATATTATTCACTTAAATCTTAAAACAAACCAATGAAGTAGCTATCTTTCTAGACACCACTGAGTAGGTGAGGTAAAGAAAGCCAAGAGAGGTCAAGTGCCTTGTTAGAATTTGGAATTTGAACTCAAATTATCCTATTGAAGAGCTAGAGTGATTTTTGTCCTTAACCACTCCATCCACTGATTTCCAAAAAGTGACCCTTGTGTCTTCCCACACCAGTGCTCCTTCTGGGTGTCGGTAAAAAGTTCAGCTTCTTTATTTTTTGTTGGTTGTGGGGCTTGAACTCAGGGCCTGGGCGCTGTCCTTGAGCTCTATCACTTGCTCAAGGCTAGTGCTCTACCACTTTGAGCCACAGTGCTACATCTGGTTTTTATTTGGAGATGAGAGTCTCACAAACTTCTGCCCAGGCTGGCTTTGAAATACGATCCTCAGATCTCAGCCTCCTGAATAGCTAGGATTACAGGCATGAGCCACCAGCTCCCAGCAAATGCAGCTTCTTGAGTGCCTCCAACTTAGTGAATAAGAATCTCTAAGGGAAGAAATGAATCGACTCATATATTTCTTATGCACAATAAAATCTGAAACCTAGGCTTCCTAAGTTTCTATCTTGTAAGTTGGTTATGGGACCAAACATTCTTACTACATTTCTATTTTTTTTTTGTTGGTTATAGGGCCTGAACTCTGGGCCTGAGCGCTGTCTCTCAGCTCTTCAGCTCAAGATGAGCACTCTACTACTTGAGCTACACTGCCACTTCCAGTTTTCTGGTGGTTTATTGGAGATAAGAGTCTCACGGACTTTCCTGCCCAGGCTGGCTTTGAACCGTGATCCTCAGATCTCAGCCTCCTGAGTAGCTAGGATTACAGGCATGAGCCACCTGTGCCCAGCTTTCCTAGTATATTTCTATAAACCCAAATAATTAGCAACTCATGATAGATGTTGACAAACAATTACTTTTTCTTTCTATACTTATACTAGGAGTTGTCACTTCACCCACAGAGTGGCAAGAATATCATGGGTTTCATATGAAATGAGTTTGTATGATATGACTGTGAACATACTACAGTAGTCATGTAATTATTTTATTGTTTACTAGAAATATAATTTTCTTATTGTTCATTAGAAAAATTAGCACACCAGCCTTGTAATTTAATGGATGTTATTGCTTAGAGCAGGCAAAGTATACAAAAGGTGTATATTTTAACTCAATAGAAAGACAAATATTAATATTGGTCTAAGTGGTATGCAAAAACAGCAAGCCAAACCTGCCAAGGTAGTATTGTGAAATGACAAGTATTTAGCAAACATTGTCCCAGTTGAAAGAGTAGGTAGCTATTATTGTTGAATTGAGGCCAACTAAGTTAATAAATGCATGCTTTAATACCAAATCATCCTGAAGATTAGCCTGAAAATGAAGATAATTTTCTATTAGAGGAAATGTCAAAAATTGTTTTGTTTTTCTTACTCTCTCACTACCAACTCACCTATTTTTATCCTTACTAGACTAACAGTAAAAAAACAATTCTCTCCCCCGAGTTAAAAGAAAAAATTAGAACAATTCCTGGTGTCAGTGGCTCAAGCTTGTAATCCTACCTACTCAAGAGGCTGTGCCTCAAGTGGTAGAGAGATAGCTATGAGAACGAAAAACTTAGGGACAATACCAGGATCTGAGTTCTAGCCCCAAGACTGGCAAAAAAGTAGATTGTCTGAATGTAATATTTCATAGATTAGATAAAACAATATAGTTGCCAGGTGCTGGTATCTCACGCCTGCAATCCTAGCTACTCAGTAGCTAGGATTGAGATCTGAAGATTGTGGTTTAAAGCCAGCCCAGGCTAGAAAGTCCCTGAGATTCTTATCACCAATTAACCACCAAAAAGCCAGACATGGAGCATGACTCAGGTAATATAGCGCTAACCTCGAGCAAAAGAGCTAAGGGACAGCGCCCAGGCCCCAAAGCCGATGTCCAACAAAAAAAAAAATGCAGTTAACAAGTTATAATGAAATACAGTCAATAGTTTCCTTTGTTTGGAATGGGGAAATAGGCCTACTTAGGGGACAACGAAAAGGGAAGCTTCACAAAAAGAAAACTTTTACACACTACTCTTTTCTAGACCCCTGGCAGGGGGCCGGGGTGGGGGCGAGGAAACCTGTCTGCACACCTATCCCATCAGCAAAGCCATTTGGGAAACCTAGATTCCACTTTTGCCAGCGCAGACTGGCAACCCCCTTCAGAGGATGCCTGGTGGACAGACAGGATTTTTACTATTGCCTTGACATTGTGGTGTCAGGGACTACCATGTGAGAGTAGTAATGAAGTGCCTTTTCTTCTCTCAGATAGAGAGGGTTCCATGGGAGTTTAGTTGGAGAACTGTTGCCCCAGCTCTGAAGTAACAAGGACTCCTCTACCTTCTAATATCAATGGAAGATGAGTGTGGGCTTCCTAACCTACCTTTAAGTAATGAAGCAGTACTTGCTTCTGCTGGAGCAGTTTCAGAGAAAGCCAGCTAAAACACAAGGTTTAAATAAGACCTAAAGTCTCTGACATAATGCTTAAAATACCCAGGTTTCAATTGAAAATCACTTAGCATAGCACAAGATGTCAAACTGAATGATAAAAGAGAATCAGTGCTGACTGAGGATGTAACTCAGTGGTAGACTGCTTGCCTATCATGCACAAGGCTATAGATTTGATTCCTAGCAAATACTGACTACTAAACAGAGAGAGAAAGAGAGAGAGAGAGGGAGAAAGGGAGAGAGAGAAACAGAGAGGGAGAGAAAGAGAGGGAGAGAGAGAGAGAGGGAGAGAAAAACAGAGACGGAGAGAGAAAAACAGAAGCAAACAGAGAAACAAACACAGAGAAACACAGAGAGAGGCAGAGTATGTGTGGGACAAATGAATCAACTTAGTTGATAGACATGTTAGGATCATGTGCAAAAATTTTGTATGCTTACTTTATTAAACAATTAAAACATGCTTGAAATAATAAAAAACAGCCACATAGTAGTTTCAGCAAAGAAATATAAGAGATAAGGAAGCACTAAATGAAAACTTTTTTTTTGGTCACTCGTGGGGCCTGAACTCTGAGCCTGGGTGATGTCCCTGAGCTCTTCAGCTCAAGGCTAACGCTCTACCCCTAAATGAAAACTTTTAAACTAGAAAGTACAATAGGAAAATAAACTCAATTGGGTGAGTTCAATAGCAGAATAAAAAGGGCAGAGAAAAGAACCTGTGTGCTCAAAAACAGATCTGAATGAAAGAAAGAAATGAACAGTTTCTGGGGCCTGTGAGCTATAATAAAAGATCTAGAGCTGGGAAGGTGGCTCAGTGGTAGAGCGCTTGCCTTGCATGCTTGAGGCCCTGGGTTCGATTCCTTAGCACCACATAAGCAAAAAGAAAAAAGCCGAAGTGGTGCTGTGGCTCAAGTGGTAGAGCACTAGCCTTGAGCTGAAGAGCTGAGGGATAGCACCCAGGCCCAGAGTTCAAGCCCCACAACCGGACCCCCCCCCAAAAAAAAGATCTAACATTTGTTTGGTCAAAGTTCCAAAGAAGAAAAAGGAAATAGGGGTAAAAAAAGAACCTGAAGACAAAATGGCTGAAAACTTCCTAAATTGGTATAAAGACATAAACTTCAGATTTACAAAGCTGAGTCTATTTCAGACAAGAAAATCCATATCAAGGCACATCATAGTCAAACAAAAGATCCATACCAAGACACATCATAGTCAGACTTCTGAAAAATAAGCAAAAAGCAAGCAGATGGTAGTAAGGGAAATATAACAGCTTACCTATGGAGAAAATTAATTCCAATGGCAAAAAAACATGTTGGAAGAAAGTGCCACGTTTTGAAAGAAAACTCTAATGTAGAAAAATATGCTCAGGAACATTTTCAGAAAATGGACAGTGAAGAGAAATTGTCACTAGTTTT